CTAACTTTGTCTACCCCCTTTTTCTGTTCTGTCTCAATACTAAATTAATGGATTCATGGTAACATGGATATATCTATCATAATCTATCCAGCAGGATAACTCAGAGCCAGTGCTTCTTCAAGAAACTATTATTTGATGTTTCTTACAAAAAATACTACTGAAATCCTGAAGGAAAAATACGCAGAAATCACATTTGACACTGTGCTGCATTTTATATTTGCTTTACTTAGGTTCACTAAGTTGCTTTACTTCAGGTTCACTGTACAATTCAAGTAAAGCAGGACTAGTAAACAAAGTCACATATTAACTAATTTAACAGACAGAGTTTGTTTACTGTAACCACTCATCCCTAAAAATGTCCAGTAAATGAGAATTTTGCCCATTAAATCAGTGAAACAGCAATTAAGGTGAGACACAGCAGATGAATAGGGTATAAGTTTTACTAATAGATATCACACTGAAAATTTCCAAGTTGATTACTTACATTAAGAAAACATTTTTTGAATTTTCTGAAATATTATGTTAAAATATGCAAATGAGGCAGTATAATGAAATATGCGCTAATTTGCATCTATTTCAAGAACTGAAATCTGAACACTGGCATAAATCAGGTTTAAAATTATTGTTTTATTTTGTTGACACATTATACTCAAATGTTTTTACAGAGGACATTTTGGATATCTCTCTTTATCATTTCATAAAATAACAATTTTCTACCTGTTTTGGGGAATAAAATGTTCTATAATTCAGGCTATAAATGATATATGAACAAACCCCTCTGTAAAAACCTTCAGAATATAGTCAGGAAGACAACTGGTTTGGTGTCTGTAAGCGCTACTGAAGTGGAGATTTTAGGCTTTAAGTATGAGAACACAGCCTGTAAAGAAAAGTATTGTACAATTCTACACATTTTCATTGAGAATCAATATTACAGACCCAATATCGACACAAATCCTTAACACCACCACTATATAACACCTCAAAACTGATAACTGAGTAAAAGCATGTCTCAACAGTCTCACTTACACACATAAAACATACAGAAACAGACAGAGTCACCCGCGGAAAGCTAAACCAGGAAGTGTCACATGACGCATCTAAACCAATCACATTGTCAGAAATCAACACTTGCCAATGAGATTCCACGCTTAGCTTAAATCCCCCTTTGTATTTTCACGTTTAGTTGGTGGTACAAAGGAAATTACCATATTTGGATCTGACAGCATTGTGCAGGAGAGAGAGTGCTTTCCAATGGTACCAGGATGATACGGTGCAGACAGCGATAGGCGAAGGACATGTTGCAGTAGAATGCTAACTTTTAGGAGAAATCTACAGACTCAAATTGTAGCAAAATAAATGTATATTTTATACCCCTCTAGTCTGAAAGAAGATATGTTAAGGAAGCAAAGTAGTAAACATTTTAAAATTAACCAATGCATGAAAAAATGTTTTTGCCTGCCATGTCACACCTTAAGGAAAATGTAAAAACCTTTATCTGGGTCGAAAGACAGGCTAGTTGCTAGGAGGTTCCTGCTAGGGTGTGGTATGCATTTACAGTAGTTAAAGAGGTAGAAGTAGTGGTAGCGTACTAATGTGGTGCTGTGTACTGGCTTGTATAGCTTACAGTACATCATGTTTCAACATGCAACCAGTTAACTAGGTCAATGCTTAGTTACTTACTTCCATGATGTAAAGGCTGTTCTCTGCCATCTCGCTAGCTGAGCTACACATGACAACTGACATATAACCGGGTTTGCATACCTTCCCCATGTAACTAAATAATTGACTACTTGAATTGCAGAACTAACGCATTAAGTTAATTCACGTTTTTGGACATGCTGAAGAACCTACAGTCAACATGTTTCCATGCATACATTTCATTTGTCATCACAATGATTATTTTATAATGTTGATCATTTTTCAAAGATTAACTCAGTTAGATTGGACAGTTTTATATTCAAACACGATTGCTGACAATCTAGGATCGAAACAGTTGCCTGCTTAATCTTCATATTGCAACCTTCCGCTAGCTTTGATAAAGCTTATATACACTGAACAAAATTATAAACGCAACACTTTTGTTTTTGCCCTCATTCATCATGAGCTGAACTCAAAGATCTAAGACTTTCTCTATGTACACAAATATTGTTGTTTTAAGTGAGCACTTCTCCTTAGCCGAGATAATCCATCCACCTCACAGGTGTGGCATATCAAGATGCTGATCAGACAACATGGTTATTGCACAGGTGTGCCTTGGGCTGGCCACAATAAAAGGACACTTGAAAATGTGCAGTTTCACTGTATTGGTGGGGTCTGGGGGGGTCCAGAAACCAGTCAATAATGGTGTGACCATCATTTGCCTCACGCAGTGCAACACATCCTTCACATAGAGTTGATCAGGTTGTTGACTGTGGCCCAGGGAATGTTGGTCCACTCCTCTTCAATGGCTATGCGAAGTTGCATTCAGCTCGAGACCCACATGAGGACAACAAGCATGCAGATGTGCTTCCCTGGGACAGTTCTGACAATTTGTGCAGACATTCTTTGGTTATGCAAACCAAGTGTTGCAGCTGTCCAGGTGGCTGCTCTCAGACGATCTTGGAGGTGAAGATGCTGGATGTGGAGGTCCTGGGCTGGTGTGGTTACACGTGGTCTGCGGTTGTGAGGCTGGTTGGATGTACTGCAAATTCTCTGAAACGCCTTTGAATTAGTTAATCAGGTTCATCAGGTTTCAAAGACAACA